AGTTTCCTCATCTGTTCAAAGGTACAATGGAGCCAGATGATCTTTCTGTTTTGATCTTTCATGTGATTGCAAATCAAATTGAATCCTATCAATGTTTTCCTGCCTTTTCCTTTTGGGATGCTTTAACCTTACAGAAATAGATAAATCATCACAAATATTAAAACATCTCAACAAATCACTCCTTAAGAGTCATTTAGAGTTGACCTCCAATAAACAGATAGTCATGTTCTGTCTCCATTTAGCAAATGTTTGTTGAACACTGACTTGGGGCCTGTGTTTTAAGTGGACATGAAAAAAATCCACGGTTGTTGGCTCCAGACAGGGTCAAGTGCTCCCATGCAGTGAATGCATGTGCCAAAGACACTTAGGGCATCTCCCTGTCCTTCAGCATTAACCCAGTTTCTGTTCCAAAAATGTAAGAGAAGCAGGAGAGGGCCAGCAGGTGGCGTGGTGGTTGAGGCACCAGACTTCACGCATGGCTGACATGGTTCGATTCCCAGACCCGGTGGCTTCTTTTCTCAATTTCCCTCTCTCTCTCTGTCACTGGTAGACTCATGTGAAAATAATAATGATAATAATAAATAAAATAAAATAATTAAAAGAGAGAGAGATAGAAGTAGTAGAAGCCTCCCCACCCTTGAGGAAATATCTAGAAGTTAACAGTCAATTCCTCAAAAGTCCAGAGGATAAAAAATTATATATAGAGAATAGTCTCAAGAGACTATAGTAAAACTAAAACTTTCTGAAGTTTAACAGGAACTGTATCATTCAGAAGGTGAATCTTAATTTGAACTCAGCCCACTGCACAGAAGTCTAAAGAAATACTATTCATTCTAGATGTTAAGCAGATTGGCATGGTTGGGATGGACTGGGTGTTCAGTGTTGAAGGCTGAACTGTGTAGAAACCAGGAAATCAGTTGTTTGGAGATTCTGTGAGGGCTCTATACAATACTCTGTGTCATCACACCTACCATACACTTGCTTTTTCATCTAGCTTGAAAAAAATGTTGTCTTAAATAATGTACACTTTTTTCTGTGCATATATATGTATATGTGTGTGTGTGTGTATATACACACACACACATATACATATATATATCCAGTTTCTTTTCAGCAGACTCTCAGTCGTAATTTAAGACACACCTGCTTCTTTTTCAAAGGCTGTGCTATATTTGAATCATATATATGGCTGTGTCTCCCTCTATGGAACATAGTTATCGTGTGGTGGGTGGGTGATGTAAGTTTACACACTCCTGGTATACTAGAGAGGAACTGGAATGGAGTCTTCTAGTGAGTCTATTTATTTGTTCAGATTTATTTTTTAACTGGAAAATCATTAGTTCTTTTCTTTTTTTTTTTTTTTGTCCAGAGATGGGGTTTAACTGTTGTCATTCATTAAAAAGCTTCAACCAGAAGCCTTTCCAGATTATTTTCTGTTTCTACTCCTAAAATAATGATAGTGAGTTTGCTTTGTGAATCACACAACAGTGTCATTTACCTGAAAGGCAAATGTAGGCTTAGACGCAACTTTTGACCGTAAAAGCATACAATTTACTTATTTATTTGTTCAAAATTTATTTTTTAACTGGAAAATCATTAGTTCTTTTCTTTTTTTTTTTTTTTTGTCCAGAGATGGGGTTTAACTGTTGTCATTCATTAAAAAGCTTCAACCAGAAGCCTTTCCAGATTATTTTCTGTTTCTACTCCTAAAATAATGATAGTGAGTTTGCTTTGTGAATCACACAACAGTGTCATTTACCTGAAAGGCAAATGTAGGCTTAGACGCAACTTTTGACCGTAAAAGCATACAATTTACTTATCTTTACAACGTGATTATGAAATTATTTCTATTCTTTTATGTTGGGCACTAAAGGAATTTGATCTGCTAAATTCCAATGTTGGCACAGATCAGAGCTTACTTGGGTGTTTGTGGAATGGCTGAATAAATAAATACCATTTTAGAACCTGAAAGAACCTTGGGATTCTAATTGATGTTTATTAGTGAAATTTCTTCCTCCTTGTGAATCTAAGGAGAATGTTATACCTAACTAGATCTAATGGAAGGATTTTGGGCTCATTGTAAAGATCTTTTATATGATTTTTCTTAACCCCATATTATGTATGAGTCGAGCTCATGTTTGTATTCCCAAATGGACTCAGACAGCCAAGGTCAACCAGCACATGAGTGGCCTGAATGCTACAGGAACTGAACTTCTGCATTTCCTCTAACAGAGTTTCTGAAACTTAATGTGCATATTCATCTTCAATATTGTGTGAAAGAGGAGGGTTCGAGGAAGGACATTTAGAAGAAAAATAGGGAGGCAAAGCATTAATGGCACAAAGAAATGTGGTATTATCTGTTGAAGATATTTTGTAGTTTTATCAACCGTACTAGGGAGAAATGTTCACCTGTTGAAATATCTATTTTGTAAGACAAATAATAATGTGATTGAATGTATAAAAGAAAATGAAATGAAAAAAAACAAAAAAAATTCTCTTCTACTGATTCTCCCACTGTTGATCAAGTTATTTTCAATATTTTATGCCGAGAGATATCCTTTAGGGTAAATTTCCAAAATTACAGTTTCTAGATCAAGTAAATAATATTCTTTAAGGCTTCTGATACAAAACATTTTTGTATCAGTATGCCAAAAAAAGAAAATATTGAATACGGTCGCCTTCATCACTGAACAACTAGCAATAGAGATGCAAGGACAGTGGCTTGTAAACCTTTTATAAATTTTGTTTTGAGTTTAGAAATGTTATATTCCTGCTTTCTGTAAAATTCACTCTATCCTCTGATTTCAGTCAGCCTAGAAATATCCGTTGTGGTGAGTCTCTTGTACTCATGAGCCCTTGTCTTGGTTGAAATGACAAACTGCAAAACAACATCAATAACACATAATAATAAATTATACCAATTCTTTTTTAATCTCAAAAGTTTGAAATTTTACGTTAAAGTTTGAATCTGGGTCAGCTTGAATTTCAGCTGAACTGGTTTATCCACCCTAAGAGATTAGTTCCTAAGAGAATTTTTGACTTACTTAGAGGGAGAGAGAATTTGAGGTATTTCTATTAAGTTATATGAGAGAGAATTCTGAAATCATACACACACTCCAGCAAATAGGAAAGCAATGGAGATTCAGGGAAGAGGATCTTAGCATAACTTCTCCATTCTTTCTCTCCTTGGTGTTATATTTCTCTCTTGATTGCCAGTCTGAGCTATTTCTGAGTAGTTCTTCTTTCTAATCAGTATATTTTTAAAGAGAAGAAGAAAAGAAAATCAAGAATTTTCAGGCAGCACACTGCTACCCTGTTTGCTCAGTTTCATGCTACTGAGCAAGGTAGATGTTTTTCTCACTGGCAGACACCATGGAAAAGCACACCAGTCATAGGGCAGGAATGACAGTAGTCTTGAAAGGCAGGTTGAATTTGACTTTAGTGTCAAATTGGACACTAAGGGGCTGGTCCTGTGCCTTATTGGTTAAGGGAACTGAATCCCACATGACTGATCAGGCAGTTTGAATCCTGACACTGGCAGCTTGAAAAACTCATTAGACACATATGTATGTATACCCTAAATGCTGACAGGGTAGAGAAATGGAGGAGAAGAGACTGTGGTGTGATCATGCCCTAGTTAGAGGTGCTTTCTCTCTCTCCTATTCTTTGTCTTTCTGTTTCTCTCTGGCGAATGCACATGTCTCTCTGCTAAATTCTTTTAAAACTTGGACTGTTCATGTTTATTGTCTCATTATTCACAATTATGAAGACATGGACTCAACCCAAATGTCCACAAACAGATGACTGGATTGAAAAAGTGTGGCATAGAGACACTATGGAATGCTACTCAGCCATAAAAAACAAGACCCTAGCATGTGATAGAAAGTGGATGAATATAGAAGATTTACTACTGAGTGAAGCAAGCCAGGCTATGAAAGAGAGACATTGTATGTCTCCACTTAGTATATACTGAATGTCTACACTCGATGGCAGAAACGTTAAGACTGGAGGATATAGAATCATGAAGAATGGTTGCGGATACTGGAGACAGTGTGAGAAGAAGGTGGGAGGTGGGGGAAGGGGAGAGGAAGGAAATCAAGCCTAAAAAAAGGAAGAAAGAAAAGAATGAAGTACTGACACATGTTACAACATGGATGAACATTACATTAACTGAAAGAAGCCAATCATAAAGTATCACATTTTATGGGATCTAGTTTATGTGAAATGTCTAGAACTGTCAAATCTAGAGTTAAAAAGTGGTTGCTTGGGGGGCTAGCAGATAGCATAGCAGTCACATCACTGGGCTCCCACACGGCTGACCACAGTTCAAGGCCTAGACCCAGTGTCTTGAAATTCATGCTGAATGCAGGTGCATGCATACCCAAGATCCTGGGAGGAGGATGGAGGAAAAGGCATTGCAGCATGACCATCCTCCCTGATGGGTGAATTTTTACTTTCTGTCTCACTCTGTCTCTGTCTCTCTCTCTCCCTAGTGAGCCCATGCACCCTAAGGCAAAAACCTCTTAAAAAATAATTGGTTGGGGCTGTGGGATGTGGGTGAAGAGGGGAAAGCAGGGTAATTTCTAGGGAGTACAAAGTTTCTTTTTAGGGTAATGACAATGTTTTAGCATCAGACTATAGGGATTATTGCATAACTATGTAATTATACTCAGAACCATTGACTCATGTGCTTTAAATGAAGGACCATTTATGGTATGCACATTATATCTCAACAGAGCTCTCTTAAAATGCCTTATGGAATATTAGTAGCCCTAACTGTGAAGAGTTCTAGACAACTGGTCTTTTTTCTTTTGCATTCTCATTCTTCTCTTTGCATCTCTGTGCTCCTAACCTTCAACCCCAGGAAGAAACTTAGCAGATTGTGTTCCTTTCACATAGCTTTTCTTTTTCCTTCTAATTTTTTGAACACATTGGCTCTGAAAACTTTCTTGTGTCAGGAGCCCACAAACAAAAAATAAAATCAAAGCAGCAGTACCCACCTTCAATAATATGCTTTCTTGACAATCCTCTTTCTGTTTCAGCTCTGTCAAGAAAAAGAAGCAAATGACTTTAAGTGGGCATGTACTTTTTGGGAAAAAAAAAGTTTCAAAAGTATAGAAGAATAGCCATTCTTATTTAGACCAACTTGCTACTTTTACACCCTGTTCTCTGCAAGTTCTGTGCCATTGGAGGCCAAGGAGAGAGGGCTGGTAGGCAATACCCTGACCCTCTTCCTTTGTTGACACTAGGAGATAAATGAACCACAGCTGTCACCACAACACTAAGCACCAGACTCAAGTTAGTAACAACTCAGCCATGGACACTCTATCCATATTCAGTTTGGTAGACGGTTCAATCTTCTCACCTTGTTTGTAACCAATCTAAACCAAACAACAACTAAAGACTTGCCACAAGTCTCTAAGTTGACTGGATTGTCACCCAGCTGCTGATATCATTAGGTTTTCTGAGAAAGGAAGCAAATTTGAAAGTACTTTTGAATTCCAGAAGACATTGGTCAGCTATCTTCCTTTAAAATGTAATGAACTAAGATTTCTTTAAATGAATATCTTAAGAAGACATAATCATAGGGACTTTTGCCTTCCCAGTCAATTCTCAAACTTTGGCCAATAAGAAATAAATGTAGCACGCGAATTTTAAAGGATCAATGAAATGTTTCATCTATGTCAGTATCTTTGGCAATTAAAAAAAATATAGTAGTTTACTGTTCACTTTTATGAGTGTATTTTTATTCTAAGTCTTTGACAAGCACAACAGCTAATAGTATACGTATTCATAGTACCCTATTATATAATGGTTCTTGCAGATTCTCTCATTTCCTGTTAATAGACAAGGTTTTCTGCACCGTTGCAAAAGCACCAAGCATTGACACTGTGAATCAAAGTATAGACAATGAAAACCCATGTTTCTCACAGGCATGGTATTGCTTTATTTTTATACAGACTACAATAGGAATAAAAAATTCTAATTCCATCTTTCTGTCTTCTCATCATAAACAGGCTCAGAAATGAAAATAAAATACGTGTGTTTTGTGCATGGGTATAGATACAGACATTCTGAACAGAACTTTTCTACAGAACTGACCTCTGCTTCCTATTTTTCCTTTTCTTAAAAAATAAATCAGAAGGTGGTGCGGTGATTAAGATGCTGAACTCCCACATGGCCAACCTTGGTTTGAGTGTGGTACTCAGCAGCTTGAAAATCACACCAGGCATATTTGTGAGCATGACCAAACTCCCGAAAAGAGAAGAGCAGAGAAAGGATTATGGCATGGCCAATCCCCCTAGGGTTGATTTTCCCTCTCTCTGTCCCTCTTCGACTCCTTCTGGTGAGTGCATACACCTTAAGACAAAAATGTAAAAAAAGAAAAAAGAAATCAATGCAATAAATAAGAAGATGTAGATGAAATTAACACCATTCTTAGCCCTTGCTATATGGCCCCTCCTCTCAGGATTTTGGGCATGCACGTATCCCAAACATGTTTCTCAAGCTGTGTAGTCTGATATAAACCATGCAGTTGGCCATGGGTGATTCAACTAACTCAACTACAATGTCATAAGCTGGCCCTCTGCTTCCTATTTAAAGCAAACAAACAAATTAAAACAAAACAAAACCTATCTCTATCAATTTTGAGGAGGTAAACAAAGTTTTGTTTGTTTTGTTAATATTCCAGCATTCTTTGGGATGCCCATGAAAAGCACAGTGCTAACAACTGCTTTGAAATAAGGACTTCCTCTTGTTCTTTTCCTATGTTTGTCAAAAAGGCTAGCTTTCTAAGTCTTACTGAATAATGCAAGTTCCAGTTCAAACACCAGCAGGCCCATCAGAAGCCAATTCATCCTGTGAAATTTGTTCTGCATCCCACGACAGAGAGAGGACTTCTCTTTCATTTGGCCTGACAGCAAGTCATATAGGTAGCTCTGTGTTATTCTCCAATGAGATGGCCCTTTTGATCAGCACTTTCAGAGTCCTCTGCAGAAATGATCAGAGACTTATACACAGAGCTAGACAAGATATTTTTATCTTTGCGATCCATAGAAGTCTCTGAGTTTTGGCAGGTTTGAGTAGCTTTTCTTCTGTGAGGCTTTGTGCTTATTTTCTTTTCCTGAAATTTGAACTCTATTTTGGAAATGGTTCTAAGTATGAGGTTGGTATTTGAAAAATCTCCATAAATCACTTAGTAACAAGTGACCACATGCTTTGCAGTAAATTTCCTTGGGAGTAGTTTGCTAAAATTGAATCCTAGGCTAATTGCTATTTCCTTAGTGTGGGGGAAAAAAAAATCCCTCTCTCCAAGTCAATTAATTTTAGTATATTAAATGTGAAATGGTTGCCTAACAGAATGAAACCATGGAATTCTAGTTGTTCCCCGTCCAGTAAGGAAAATAAAAGATATTTTACTTACTTTCCACCCCAGTAGAGTTTGGTTGTTATGACCAGGCTGGATCTCCTGTATTTGAAAAAAAAAACACAGAGTAACAGGTTATTGTATCAAGTCGTATTATTATTATAGCACCCAAAAGAATTAGTCATAATCATTCTCTTTTTTTTATATTTAGATTTTTGCTACAAGGGTGTATGTGCCTGCCGAAGAAACAGAGAGAGACCGAGAGATAGAAATTGAGAAATCACCCCCAAGGGGGATGGCCATGGTACAATCCTTTCTCCATTCTCCTCTTGGGATCTTGGGCATACACGCACATGCACCCTGTGTGAATTTTAAGCTACTAGGTCCAGGACTTGAATCACGGTTGATTATGTGGAAGTCTAGTGATATAACAATTACCCCATCTGCTGGTCAATAGCTCACATTTAAAAAAATTGGCAAAGTGATGAATTTGTTAATTCATGTTACCAAAACATAAAGACAAAGAGGAGCTGGTGAGAAAGATATTGAAGTATGATCCTAGAGAAAGAAGCTGAAGGGAAATGCTTTCTGCCCGGAGGGGCTGAGGGAGGTGGAGGACAGCACCAGAAGCCTGGGAATCGTGGTGCCAAATGGAGTGGGGGACCATAGGCCAGCTTGCAGGGCCAGAAATGGTATAGAAGAAGGTAAGGGCAAGGACTTAAAAGATGGATTGCTTTAGTGCTCAAGTGAATGGCCACCAGTTAGCACTTATTTAGCATCTGGCAGAGCGCTGATCACACGTGCACTGTTCCTGGCAGGAAGTCCACTCCTTGCCAAGGACCGTGAACTCTAGTAGCTTTGTTACTGTCTCCTGTAACTGTCACCTTTACAAGCAGGAACTGGCTGCATATGTGAAGGGTGAAATAAATGACCATAGTCAACCCATATTACAAATAAATAGGGAAAAATTGTCCTTGAGTGTCTTATTGAATGGAAATGTCAACTTTAGGAAAACAGTCCTAATATCCTTTAGGTTCTACCAGTTTATTCCTAAGGGAATGCATTGTGGAAATTTTGCCAGTCAACTTGGTGCCTTCTCAGAGCCACACCCCACGGCAGGAAATGCAATCATCGCTTTATGATCGTGGAATAAGAAATATGCCTTGAGAACCACAGACATATAATTTAAAATTGGGAGGCAGATCCAAATGCAATTTTGTTTCTCTAGGTATGTGATTCAATTGAACTAGTCTAGAAGAAAAATCATCTGAGATTCAAAGGTTAAGACCAAACTTCAGGAGCGTTCGAAGTAAAGTATTTGTAATTCTATCAGCTATAGAATTGATGACTTCGGGGGACCAGCAGTTAGCGTAATGGCTATGTCGCTGGACTCCCACATAGTCAACCGCGGTTCGCGTCCCGGACCCGGTGGCTTAAAACTCACGCTGGGTGCGTGTGTGTACGTGCCCAAGATCCCGAGAGGAGAATGGAGGAGAAGGGATTGCACCGTGGCCATCCACCTTGGGGGGTGATTTCTCGCTTTCTGTCTCTTTGTCTCTCTCTGTCTGTCTGGTGAGCGTACGCGCCCTATAGCAAACACCTCTCCAAAAAAAAAGAAAAAGAATTGATGCCTTCAGGCTCTCAGGTATAAAAGCCTAGCATGATTAGTGATAACCAACAGGGAATGACGGTACCAATTCCGAAAACTCGGCTGCAGCAAAAAAAATTTGTTGAACATATCAACAACCCTATCCCATGTAAGTTAATTTCCTGAAAAGTAATTTTGAATCACTGTAATGGAAGGTTGACAGATATATTCACCTGGAGATTACACACCCCAAAAGAGCTGATGTACTTTCCAGGTTAATCCATCAACCTCATGATACATATTTATAATAGCTATCTGCCACTGGGGAACCAAGTCTCCTTTAGCAAAGGCTTTCAACCTGCAACAAAAAGCTGGATGGACTATTATAAAATACATATGCAGCCCTTTTGATTATTCAGAGCAGTTAGCCCTGCTAAAACTTCACCTTCTATTTGAAAACTACTTTCCCCCCGAATTTGACTTTCTGTAAGATGTTTGGCCGATATGGGTGTGCACACTAACATTTATGCGTAAATAGCAAGGGTAGACAGAAGCCTGGCAAATTACCATGACTCCCACGGAGGTTCATTAGAGCAACTCTTCCGAGTGGGTGGAGAACGATAATGTGAGTATTTCACAGTGATGCTGCACAGCCTTCAGAAACACTTTTGCACACCTTATTTCACTTCGAAACATGATACTTCGTGAACAGTTATGCCATCCATTTTACGGGTGGGGAAATGGAGAATCAGAGAGGTGAAGACCTGGCCCTGGATAACAGCCAGCACATGGTAGCTCCAGCGCTAGAAACCAAGTGTGCTACGTGGAGCAGCTTCCCTAGGCTGAATGCTATGAGGGTATGGGGTAGCTTTTCCCCAGCCTCACAGGGGCCACTGCCAACTGATGCAAACGTTCTGTAGTATGGTGAGAGCCGGAGGTCTTATTTGCCAGTGGAAAGGCAGTTTGTGAAACATGCATGTTCGTCTATTTTCAACAAAAGCTGGATATGGTATGTTGTGGAACTATGGACTGATGATGAAATGCTTTCTGGGTGTCGAGAGAGTGAAGAGCTACAGAAGGACCACACCCACGCGTTAGTCTGCACCTCACGGCAGACCTCACTGGACTGTCAGTGGACTCCACAGTTTCTGTTTCAGGTTGAATTGTTCCCTAAAAAGATTTGTAAACTTTTTTTTTTTTTTTTGGGGCGGGGGAGAGGTTTTTGCTATAGGGTGCATGTGCTCGCCAGAAAATGGGACAGCGAAAAATTACTCCACCAGGGTGGATGGCCAAACCGCAATCCTTTCTCCTCCATTCTCCTCTCAGTATCTTGGACACGCATGTACACAACACCTGGTGTGAGTTTAAGCCGCCGGGTCCAGGACTCGGACCTCAGTACACTACATCAGAGTCCAGCGACGTAGCCATTACGCCATCTGCTGGCCCCGCTTTGTTAACTTCTCAACCTAGGGGTACCTCCGGGTGCGAGCTTATTTGGAAATGAGGTCATTGCGGATGTAATTAGTTAAAATGAGGTCATGTTGGAGAAGGATGGCCCTAACTGAATACAACTGGTGTCCTTAAAAGAAGACGCACAGACACATGAGGCCGGAGCACTACGTGACAGCGGAGGCAGAGGCAGGGGGGCCGCAGCTGCGCCAAGGACGGCTGGCTGCCACTAAAAGCTAGGAGGAGACCAGGAAGGACTTCACCCAGCTTCAGAGAGGGCATAGCCTTACCAACACCTTGGTTTTGGACTTCTGGTCTCTGGAACGGTGTGAAGCCATCCAGTTCATGGCGCTTTGCTGAGGTGACCCTAGGAAACTGACCATCTCTGCTTAGACAGTGATGGATGGACCGACACTGTGCATGGGGAAGTGACTCTGGCAAGGTGGGGACATGAATACTTTTCCATTTTGAAGGTGAGGAACAGCTTCCTCTTAATACTCTAGCAGTCTCCTAGGGTGAAGGAGGAGGAGGAGAGAGAGGAAGTGGGTGGTTGAAATGTGTTTGTTATTTCTCCATCAATGTCTGACTTCCCGTTTCCCCTAGGCCCTGTATTCCTGTCATCTCCAAGTGAGGAGTTCACGGCCCCACAACTAGGTGGCGCTCTGTTCCCTATGTCCAGTTTCGCCTCCCAGAGGGCGTTTAAACGAAACGTGCAAAGGCAGAGAAAGCCAGTGCTAAGGCATACCCTTTGACACGTCCATGTTTCCTAAACTCGATTTTAGAAAATACACACTAAGTGCATTTGCATAAGTATAAAGCTCCTCCTGCAGTTGTCTTCACTAATACTACGTGCTGTCATTTACTGGGCCGTTGGCAGATACTAAGCCAGAGCAGACTTGTCTGGCGGTCTCGGCTGGGCTCTGTTTCCTTTTCTACCCAAGCTGGGGAAGGAGTGGCCATAGTGACCAGCACCCTGAGTTACATGGAGGGGGATTGCCTCCCCACCCCTGCAGATGTTACAGCTTCCCCCATTGCCATTAGCACAACCCCCCCTGTTTCTTGGAGAGACCCCTCAGAGATAAAGGGAGAAGTGCTTTTCTGAGTATCCAGATAATAGGGCACCATGACACACAGGATCAATGCTGGCTAACTGTGTTCATGTAAGGAAGCTTTGGGGTATTTTATCTCATCATGTCTTTGCATCCCCAGTTGTTAAAATGCGCACAGAGCATAAATACACGTGTCTAGATCATCAGCTTCCTGCCAGCTTGTTTCCTTCCCCAGATTATCCTACCTGGCAGTCAGAAGCCACGGAAATGTCACTTTCTTTGATATACAAATACCTCGGGAACGTCCTCTCCCCTTCTGCTCAACCCCACCATAATTCATTGTGATCAATGACTGGTCAATGATTTCTGAAGTGCAAGTAACGAATTCACTCGCATTTGTTTTCAAGCCACTGTAAGTCATTTCTTTACCGGGAGTGAACTTTTGTTTTGTTTTGGTTTTTTTGCCAGCATTTTGGTCAGGTGTCATATGATTTTATTTTCCCTCCTCTGGCACAAGATAACAAATCTTTCAAAGGCAAACAGGCGCTCACGGGGCATGCAGTACCTCCAGCCTTTCTTCTTGATGATGCTCCCCAGAATCACTTCAGCCCTGGAGGAGGAAACAGATTATGTCTTAGGATAGTGTCCTGGGAAAGCAAGAGTCAATCCAAAGCTGCAGCGCCGTTCCTTGTTTGAACTCTCGGTGCCTACATAGCCCGAAAATAGAAGCGCTCTCGGCTGGTAGCACAGTTTCCGCTGTTTCTGCTTGTGCCTGCAGAATCCTGCTCCGGAGCATTCCAGAAGCACCTGCCAAATCCTGACATGCTGGCAGGAGACCACCTGCAGTCCTTAAACTAAGAAGCAGCAGTGTCATTTGGCAGTTTGGTGTTTTCGAACCACTCATCCCATTTAAAATGTCCTGCCTGGCAGTGTCCAGTGGGAGTCACACGTTCCTTCTCGTTGCTGTGGGACAGTTCATTTGTGACTGGGGAGGACATGAGATTGCACACTGTTTCAATGGAAAATATTGACTCCCAGGTGATCTTGCAGGATAAGCCAAGAACCCACATGTGGGTTTAGATGTCCCACCGGCCAGATGCAGTGCCATATAAGGGGTATCCTGGGTTTCAGCACCGAACTCTGTCATAGGAGGAAGATGTAAAGACACAGCATAGTGTCTCTCCTGTCCCTGAATCTGGGTCATGGACAGGTGTACTGAAGACATCTTCCTGTCCTCTCCCCTTCCACCCTGGGTCTCCGCGACTGAGAAACTAAAACTTTCTTCTGTGACCAGCAATGTAAGAAGCAGCTGGTTGCAAGAGCTTTAAGATGGGGAGCTCAGGGGAATTAGCACCTGTAACTTGAGCCACTACTGATGGGCGTCCTCACTCATCGCTACTGGCCACATCCTAAAGTTTTGTCTTGGTTAGACTACCCAGCCTGTGACAAACCATAATGTGGGTTAGCTGGGTATATACCCCAAATAGACAGGCCTTGAATGCCTATATGTCGGTATGCTTTTGCTTTCTCTGTCTCTCGCTCTCTGTTGCCTTTTACAACCTTGAGTATCACCATCACACACTGACAGTCAATCAATAATGGATCAGAACAATTATCCTTCACAGCAGGAACACAAACAGGACGGAACAGACCTGCCACTCATTTCTCCCTGTTTCCACCCCAGCCCTCTTTGGCACTAGGCAGGATTCAACAAAAATAAAGATGCTGTGGAAGTGTAGGATGGAGAAAGGTGCGAGACCTTACAACTACCAGAACCTTACTGCTGTCCTCGGACTCAACGGAAAACAGGCATGTAAGACTCGAACCGCCATGCTGGTCTCTAAATATAGACCTGCCCTTGGGAAGGAGAAACCCATGCAAGAAAACTGTACTGAGGCAATTTGATGAACCCGATCCAGGAAGTCCAGCAGTTTTTGTTGTCATTCTCACCTGGAGGGAGGTGACTTAGGCCCGCAGGCGATTGTGCTCCACAGACCCATGGGAAAACTGCAGAGCCGCTCAAACAGCTATCCAGCTCCTTCGTTTCTTTGGTTCTAGGAGCCAGCCACACTTGCTCACTTTAGGAGGCCAGGAGGGCTTCGATCTGTTCTGAAACGTGCCATTCGTAGGGGGTCTGGATGGGATGGGCTTTGTGGCTTGGCCCAAGGGCACATCACCCAGGCGTTCTGCTTTAACAAACCCTGTCCTAGAGCCCCAAACTGCTGTCAGGTCCAAGGGGGAGCTTGCACCTACACGTGACTCCGAACACAAGTGAGGCCTCTCTGCTGTCCTCCCATCCTCAGGACGAGCTCTGCAGTGCTCTCTTATAAGAGACGCTGGATCCCTTGGTATCTCTGAGCAACCTACTCTCGGTGTCTGATCTGCCTTTAACGCTAGTAGATGCAGGCCAGCCCACAGGAAAGCGATCTCTGTTTCTCTGCAGCAGAGCTGTCCAGCTACACTCGGGGGCTGAGGCGGTATGAGCTGTGGTTCTGAAATAACAAGACTAGCTTTGAACAGCCATCTCGGGATCTGATTATTCACTCGCTCACTCATCTGTTTAACTACCATTTACTGATTTTTACTGCCACCACTCTGGCCCAAGCTGGCCACCTGTCCCCTCATATAGACCATGGTGACAGTTTCCTGGTCCTACCCTCCCCCAGTTCATTCTTCATATGGGGACCAGAGACAGGATGGTGGGGATGGGCAGAGGGTGCCAGAGATGGCCAATACCCCCAATCCCAGAGGTGGTGGTAGAAGGGGACAGAAGATCCATGCCATGGCAGCGAGGGAACAGCATAGCAGAAGGGGTCTGGGCAGATTCTCTCAGTCCCACAAATGCCTCCTGAGAGACACAAGTGACACAAGCAGTGACTTACTTTCCAGCGGCGTAGACCTCGGCAGTATCAAAGAGATTGACCCCGCTTTCATAGGCGATCGTCATCAGCCGTTCGGCGACCTGCAAGGGAACGTAAAGCCAGTCAGAAGAGCTGGATGCTTTCCCAAGCCGGAGGCAGCATCGAATCCTCTACGAGTCTTCGAGGACACTGAACTCTTACTAACCACATCTTGCAGGGGAAGAGAAAAAAAGAAGCCTCAACCTGTTTATGTGTGTGTGTGGGTGGGGGGGGCGGGGGAAAATAGCCTCTCCTCAGACACAGGGGCATGGAGGGGCTGCAGCCCAGGGATTAGGTCAGCCCTCAGCTCACAGTGAGGTGAACAGAGTTGTGTTTCTCTTTCTTCCCTGCGAGGAAGACCTGGTTTGACAACATTCTCGGTGGCATTGTGAACTCTCTGAGAAGGGAGTCATTTGTATCCCTGGTGACTCCCTTTCTCAGCTCCATTCTCTAAGCTGATAGGGTTTGGCAGCCGGATGACTCCTGACCTGAAAGCTTGTGACTTTTTTCCTTGAGGCTTAGCAGACCGTGCTGGTGAACCAAAAGGTAGAGCCATGATAGTTGCACAGTTCCTGCCCCCACCGTGGAGCAAAATCCCAGGAACCATTACAGAGCAGCTGCTGAATCAACACGGAGGAAAGCAAGCGCCCCACCTCAACAGGGACCTACCTCCAGCCTGCACACAGATCTCAAAGCTTCTCGCTGCTTCCTTTGTGCCACTGAACGCAAGTGGCAAGTGTGACAGAACAGCAGCAACAGCCTAAGGGGTGGCTATGGAGGGACAGCCGTAAACGGCAGTGGAGAGAGACCACTTTTTCATTTTGGCGATTGATTCATTAGTCATTTGGAAAATTACACACCTCACAGATAATTAAAATGGAGTTTTCTATTATTTTTTTTTCAAGGCAAGGTAGTTGTTTTGGCAACATTTCCACAATCAACTATTTTCTATTGTTTAGAAGATTGTCCTAAGAATTGTTAGGCTAGCAAAATGGAACCTAGGCAGATCCTTTAGCATGCTAGTTGTAGAAATGCCGTTACTGCACTTTACAATTATTTTATTTTTCAGTTTTTTGCCATAGGGCAGGCATGTGTCCTCCTCTCAGAGAGACAGAGAGAGACAGTGAGAGAAAGTGAGAGATCACACACACGCCCCACCAGGCGGGGAGAGGGGAGATCCTTTATTCTCTTTCTGGGATTTCGAACTTGCACGCACACATACCCAGAGTGATCTCTAAGCCACCAGCTCCAGCACTCGATTGGGCACGCTAAACACAGTCCACCACGTGGGTGTCCAGCACCTTAACCACCTTGCCACCTGCTGGGCTACTATTACTGCTTTTTATTTGCTACCATTATGGCATTTGTCCTAACTAGATTAAGAGTGAATAGAGAGTTTCTAGAAGCAACACTCTGTCCCTGCAGATACTGTTCGAGGTGAGGCCTAGAATTCTTGCTGCTCTCTTACTACCCAAAGAAGTAGTTGATAGTCGAAGGAGTACAGGGCCAAGAAAACCACTGGGAATGGTGTGGGAGTCCCCCTAAAGATAGCTCTGCTTCTGCACTTCCAGTCTAGAAGTCAGAATAAGTTTTCTATTATTGGTTAAGCTGATTTGAGCCAGGTTTATTTTACTTACATTAAAAGGCAATGTAACTAGGTGAGAAAATGTGCATAAAACTCAGGAAATGAAGGTCTATAAGATGATCATAGACTCATCATTTTTTAAAATTCTTATTTACATGAGCAACCTCTATCTTGACTTCATGATAAAGTCACATTATCTTAGAGGGATGCTTTGCAGAGCTATTAGTTATTTAGATTTGAATCTTTTGACACTCTCTCTCCCAACTGGTTATTCAACATATGACTGAATTCTCCCACTGATGGGGACATCACTACCTCCTGAAACAGTGCTGGTAACCGGGTCACTTGGAACATTACCGTGTGGTCATTCCTAGGATCCCGTATTTGCACAATACTTTGTATTGAGATCTTTGAAGCCAGAGACAAAGTAGGGGCAGTCCCTCCAGCACAGCAGGAAGGCACTGTGTAGAGGAAGCCAGATCTCACATGGCCAGTATGGGTTTGAGTATTGGCCTCAGCAGCATAAAAACCGTACTGGGTGGGGACCAGCAGATGGTGTAGTGGTTACATCGCCGTACTCCCAAGTAGTCACCTGCAGTTCAAGTCCCAGACCCGGTGGCTTAAAACTCACACTGGGCGCATGTGTGTGCATGCCTGAAATCTTGAGAAGAGAGTGGAAGAGAAGGGATTGTAGCATGGCCATCCCTCCCTGGGAGGTCATTTCTTGTTTTCTCTACATCTCTGTCTTCGGCGAGTGCACACACCCTATAGCAAAAATCTCTCTCAGAAAAAAAAAAAAAAAGAGAAAAAAGAATATTGGGTGTGCCCAGGATCCTGAGAAGATGGAAAACTGGAAGAAAAGGAATTATAATGTGATCAGGTCTCATGGGGGGAGACATACTCCTTCAGGAATAAAACGTTTTTTTAAAGGAAGAGAAAGCAGGAGAATCTGCAGAGGTGAATTCGTCACTTGGCTCCCGTTCCAGCTCTGTGGAAACAGCTGAGCTCGAGCAATGCCCACGGGTGTAACTGGGCTGCCTGCGCCTCCCCTCCCCTCCCCTGGCCGGCATTCTCTCTGCGTGGGCCTGGGGAAGGCCGCAGATGCACTTTGGAAGGACATTTGTCTAGTCTGCATCTGATGCCGGTGCCTCTGCAGCTTTACTGTGCCGTTTTGAGAACTGGGATTTTGAAGTGAGTCATCGCAGAGGTCAGCCCTGAACACCCTGACCCGGGTGAGGTGAGCTCCCTGCGCCTGAAAGCAGATATTGTGGAGGGCAGAGCAAAGACTAGGAAATGAGGCACTGACGGCTGGCCCTCTCCCCAAAAAGGGAAGCTCTTTTTGTCGTTTTCCCCTCAGAGCACCATCCCAGGGTGATCCACGGGCTGGATACACCCACTTATTCACTTGAGACCTTCCTCTCTCTTGCCCCCTATTTTGTATCTGACTTAAAGTCTGTGCTTTGCCCCACTCTCTCAGCAGATCTACCTCTGTGCCTCCCCCCTTCACCCCTACGTGTTGCCAATCACAGGACCCTATAATGGACTCCATGAGGTACCCTCAGTCCTCCCAAACCCAAGGAGGTATTTTCAAAGCTGCTGGAAATGCTGCCGTCAAATAGCCTTCAGCTGTCGGCCCTTCGTGGAAATTGCATGTGGTTCGAGTCACCCAGTGCAAAGGTCAGATCTACTTCCAGGTCAGCCTCTCTCTAGCCACAGGTCACTACAGGGCATAGGAAGGCCCAGTCGTCTTGTTCCAACTTGGGGTAACTCCACAGGACCATCTCAGCCTCGGAGCACCAAGGGTGGGCTGAGGCATTGCTCACACTGCATCAGGGCCCGACACCTCACTAGCCCAGTGCCACGTCCTTTCCTGCCTGCTGCTCCCGATAGCACTTCCTGTGAACGCTCCTGTGTGCTAATCTCTGTCTCAGAGTTGGCTTCCTAGGGAACCCCATGAGACAAGCCCACTGTGGTGACCAATGCCAAGCACTGGAAACAGGCATTTAGACAGGTAAGAACGTGCAGGAAAGATCCCTCCCTGAGATCTGCTAACTAGCACAGTGACTTGGGCAGCTGCTGGGAGAAGCCTCAATGACTGAACTATGTTTGTAAATTCTCCTTCTGGGCCAGGCCCCTGCTAAGCATTTTACAGGCATCATCTCATTCATCGTAACCACAATCCTGCTGAGCTGAAGCTATTTGCGTTTCACTGATGTGGCGACTGTTAGCAAATGGCTATGCTAGTCAATTAAGTTAGTCAGTCGCAAAGTGGGGTTGGATCCCACTGTGGGTAGCCACTCGGACACACAGTGGGACAGCTGCTGACTCCTCCATGGCCTTCCAAGGAAGGCAAGTGAGGATCAGAGGGTCTTCAGGGCGCTGCCCTAGAGTTCTTGATACCCACTGTCCGTGCCCTCACCTGGGCTACGAAGGGGTCCTTTAAAGGTAGTGATCACTTTGAGAGCCTGGGGGTGGCAAAGCCCTGGTTCACATCTTGGGGCCTCCCTGGGCACACCAGGCATATGTGCAGTGTGCCTGTGAGCTGAGACAGCTGAGTTTGGGGGTAGATTAAGGCATGGGGTCCCTCTTAGGTATGCCTGTCTCATTCTCTGATGGAAGAAATAAATCCATAAGCCATAAAAATAATCAATAAGTGCTGTTTTGAACTTGTAAACAATGAATTGTTCCTGTAAATAGCAATTTTATGGTAAATATAGCTGCCTTTTATTGAGTGTCTGCCACCTGCTAGTCACAGGGCTGATAAACACAGCATCTGGCATGCACGATGTGTAGTCCTTTTAACAGACCTTCAAGGTCGGCATGACCATCCCATTTTACATTAGAGAAACTAAAGCCCAGAGAGATTCATTCATTTGCTCAAGCTGGGATGACTAACTGCCCAGGACTGAGAGAGTTTCTGTGATGTGGCCTTTCAGAGCTTAAACTGAGAAAGTCCTGTGTAAACTGGGACCAGTTAGTCACTCTGGTTACCGTTAAAGAAGTAAATAGATAAAATAGAAACCTACAATAACACCAATAACATTTTTTTCATAAAGTGACCAAGAGGAGCTCTAAACTGTCTCATTCCCTCCATGTTGAACCTGCACATACATGATAACAGATTGACAGTCTCAAGGGTTATTAACAGTGTAAATGTGAAGAATACAAGAGGCAAGATAAGTGAAAATCTTGGAGACAGTCTTAACCATCCCCCGTGATTTAAATCTTGTCCCTGTAAATCCCAGGGTCCCAGGAAGAGCACTCCTCTGTACAGCTTGCTCTGCCTTTTCTTTCATCAGCATGGTAGAAGGCAAAATACCTTACCTCATCCGAAATTTGGCCTCCGAATGTCACCCATGTTCCTAGAAAAGAATAAATATTTGTGCATCACTCATGAGGATTTTCTAAACTCTTACATCAAGGCTACTTCAATAGGTGGTACAGATAGTTCACAAAGGTGTCTGGGTGTGGCACATGTGGGTGTGGTCTAGCCTGACCACCTTTCCCTAAGGCTTCCCAAAGGGGTCTGCATCCCTCTAGAGGAAGAAAGTGACTTTTCTGCACTTAAAGCCACCATGTATGATAATGGCAGCCCTGTCCTAAATGATGCTTATCGGACCCTGCACGTTAGCACACAAGAAGGCAATGCTGTCAAGCCCATTGTGGCTACACACCCATGCTTGCTCTTGCTCACCTAAGAAGCCAAGGTAGGACCTGGGGTTATGGCTCTCCCCTTCTTTGTCCCCAAGGGGCTCTAGCTCATATTGTCCATTACCATTCCAAAGGTTTCTCTTAGATGTCCTTCCAACTCCCACTTACAAGACCCAAGAGGGGACACTTACATAATGTCTGTTATAATCTACTACTCCTGAATGAAAACCTTCCTTGGTTTCTGGATGGGAGTGGAGAAAGCTAGAGAATGAGGAAGGCAAGGGGAGAGAGCCACAATCAGCAGCCAAAGATTTGCATTTATAAAATAAGAGGGAGGGACCAGCAGATGGCGTAATGGCTACATCCCTGGACTCCCAGGTCGTTGGCTGTAGTTGGAGTACTGGACCCAGTGGCTTAAACTCATGTTGGGCGCGTGTGCATGTGTGGTGTGCCCAAGATCCCGAGAGGAGAATGGAGGAGAAGGGATTGCGGCGTGGCCATCACCCCTGGCGGGGTGGGGGATGGAGGGTGATTGATTTCTCACTTTCTGTCTCTGTCTGTTTTTCTGGCAAGCGCACATGCCCTATGGCAAAATCCTCTTCAAAAAAGAAAAAAAAAAAAACAAGAGGGAATTAGACCTTGCGTTGGCTCCTGCCATGCCAGTCTCCAGTCTCCTCATTCATTCATTCCCTCCGTTAGTCATTGATCTTTGTGGAGTCCTAGTCACATAGGAGGCACAGGCATTATGCTAGGGACAGTGGGGGGGATTGACCCAATTCTGCCCTCCCTAAATGTTTACAATACCACTTGATAGATGCCAAGACTGAGGCAAAGAAGGCCACAAGGAAGGGAGTGGCACGAAAGAAAGGCTTCCTAGAAGTGACATCTTGGTTGCATCTCACTGGAGTTAATGGAGTAAAGGAGGAAGAGAAAGGCATTCCAGGCAGAGGCAAGAGTGTGGTTGAGGCTGTAGGACATGCTGCTGCATTCTAGTGGGCCATTAGGACAAGTGACAGCACATGGGGGCAGAGAGGAACAGGTGGCCAGAGCTGGAGCAGCCAGGACGTGGGACAGTCAATATCTGTGGGGGCACACAGAGAAATGCTGTTGAGAACTCCCATTTTCCATTTCTTCACAGCAGCCATCGCTACCAATTATGGAACTCCTTCCAAATGCCAGACAGCAGGCTAAGAAGTTTCCTACTTTTATCTCTAATCTTTCTGACAAACTTACAATGCAGTTTTATCATCCTCCTTTCTAGATGAGGAATCAAACATTCGCCCACCTAATCCTGAAATACCCAGGATTCCCCAAATGCCTGGCTTCAGGAAGGGCATGCTTTACCACCACACCACCGTGTCTCATTAGAACATTTTCAAACTAATGACGGCACTTGAATTTCCTACTTTGTGGAAGAGTATTAATGTAAGGGTACCTTTCATCTCAGTTCTGAGGGACTCGGACAAAAGCAGGGCATAATTTCTCTTACTGTCACACTCTCCATCCCCTGAGGTTGCAAACGGGCAGTCCCCTGGTGCAATCCAGCTTGCAGGTTTGTTTTGCTTCACTAGAGTGATGCTGCGTCACCTAGTATTTTAATACATTTCGACTCAGTTACCAACCCTGAAACAATTAGATTTTTCTTAAAAATATCTGCTTTCCAGCTTCTCTTGACCACAGAGGGTAGGTGTCCCTACAAGGTAGACATGCTCTAACACTGGGGGGGGCAGTGTCCTCGTCGGAAAGATGCAACCCTTGCCGGTTGAAGTCCCCACATCTTCCTGTTGTGCGAAGGGACTTTCAAAAAATGGAAGTAATAGTACAAGCTTGTTTTGGTGCAAAAAAAATGTTGAAATCCATGCATAGCTTTTTTTCATAATGCACATTTTAATGAGCTTTTTGAAGACCTAAATATTCAACACTGAAATCAAATGACAGTTATTTACAACCATGTGTTTATTGCTATCTTTTTCTTTCTGTAAAATTAAGGAGAAAATGAACTTGTACATCTCTTTAAACAAATAATTGAGTTCTTTTTTTTTTTTAAAGGAGTACTTTTTGTTGTGGTTAGGAAGAATATAAACAAAGAATTTCTGTAGGCACTATAACAATGCTAGCCATGACTGGTGTACAGAAAAGACAGACATTGAAAACATAATGGACTGGGAACCAGCAGTTAGCGTAATGGCTATGTTGCTGGACTCCCACGTAGTCGAACGCAGTTCGTGTCCCGGACCCGGTGGCTTAAAAAACTCACGCCGGGCGCGTGTGCGTGCGTGCCCAAGATCCCGAGAGGAGAATGGAGGAGAAGGGATTGCGGCGTGACCATCCCCCCTGGGGGTTGATTTCTTGCTTTCTGTCTCTGTGTCTCTCTCTGTCTGTCTGGCGAGCGCACGCGCCCTACAGTGAAAATCTCTCAAAAAAAAAAAACAACATAATGGACTGAAGAAATGGTACCTTTTGGTTCTGAATGAGAACGAAATAAATGAGTTGCTCTGGAATGCATTTCTCTATTAAGTAATAAACTTGCCTGGGCATCAAAATCTTTTTACAGAAAAGTGTGTTTATAAAAGAGTCTCTTTGGAATGCTGCAGGAATGATGTGTCCAGGACAGTAACAACATTTGCAAATATTACTAAAACCAGTGATTTTGTCACTCGACATGTTAAAAATGTGGCTGAGAACTTTCAGGACTAATTTAATTATTGGTGATTTTTTTTATTGTTACAAATGAGAACACCAGTTTAAATAATAGCACGCTAATTACACAGGTCGACCCTTGAACGATGTGAGTTTGACTAGTCCATTGCACTCGTCCACTTAGGCTGGTCCACTTATGTGTGGCTTTTTTTCTTCTTCTTTTGTTTTTCACCTGACAACAAATTTATCACTTTTTTTTTTTTTTGAGAGATTTTCACTGCAGGGTGCGTGCGCTCGCCAGACAGACAGAGAGAGACAGAGACAGAAAGCGAGAAATCACCCCCCCAGGGGGGATGGTCACGCCGCAATCCCTTCTCCTCCATTCTCCTCTCGGGATCTTGGGCACGCACGCACACACGCCCGGCGTGAGTTTTAAGCCACCGGGTCCGGGACACAAACCGTGGTCGACTATGTGGGAGTCCAGCGACATAGCCATTACACTAACTGCTGGTTCCCAAATTTATCACTTTTTTAACACAAGAGATTTTCTCCAAAAGTAAAGAAATAAGAAAGAAGTCCAGTGTTCCTGTATTCTCAAACTGCAGTCTCAATTCCAGGACACCGTCTTCTTTCACAGAACAAGTTGGCTCCTGGGAATGCAACCGTGGTGTTTTGGTTGAGGGTTCCTCTGTGCTGGGTTTCTCACTGCCCTTCTGAGTTTTACAGATGGATTCTGCAGGCTTTTGTGCTGTCCTGGGGATGCCCAGCCTTGCCTCCATTTCTATGTCTGTGATCCCATAGGCAAGACTGCTTGGTCCCTGTGCTCTGGGTGACTCCTCTCCCTGTTGCTGCTGCTATTGCCCCAGGTAATGTCCAACCATCACCCAGAGCCTTTTCACTGTGGGCGTGGTCCTCATCATCCTCTTCCATTGCCATGGAGGCATTGTCAAGAGTTGGCTTGAGAATCCGTGAGAATCCTGCCTTCACGTGTCTCTAGGGATGACTGGTCACTGGTCAGCAGGTGGGTGGTAGGGGTGGGACAGCATTAGCTCACCCCAAATCTGCTCTACTGCCTGGAGGTCAAAGTAGAACACCAATGGGACTGGGAACTGGATCTCCAGGGGCCATTGTCTTGTCCCATGGCTGAGCTGACAATCATTGTGCCGGTACCATACCATGGCTGGAGGGAAGGGTATAGGACTCAGGGCTGGGATAGGCCACTCTCTTCACTCAGGCAAGGCTGGAGTATGCTATTAGTAGTTAAGCTTTGGTGTAGTCAAAATGTATATGTGGCTTTTTTCTTTCTTAAAAAAAAAATCATAATGAAGCATGTATGTGCTAGACAGACAGAGAGGAGGATTACCTTCCTCAGGGCTTGATCACATCAGAGTCCCCTTCCTCCAGTCCTAGAGCCTGCCAAGATCCTGAGCATGTACAAGCCCACACAACCAGGAACTCAAACCAAAGTTAGCATGTGGCTTCCAGCCCCATAACCCAGAGTTATGGAGGCTGAACATATATGTGGGCCTTCGACTATGGGCAAGTATGGGAAAGAATGAGGAGAGTGAGATGGGAAGGAGCTGGCACCCCCAATCCTTGCCATTGTTTAAGGGTCAGCTTCATTTATTTGTGGCAAGATGAGAATTTTGAAGGAGTCAAAGACCTTTTGGATGAGGAGGTCATGAACAGCAAAACATCAGGAAATGGCTTATTTTTCGTGATGAAAAAGGTCTACAAAGCACTGATCATTCAAAATCCTCTTATTTAGTTACTCTGAGGTGTTCTAAACACGTGATGGCAAATGGCTGAGGATATAAATTACATATAATTTACCTGATTTGATCACATGCATTATATTCTTATATTGGAAAATCACATTATACCTAACAGATGTGCACAATTACATAAAAAAAAATGTTGAAAATGAAACAAAAAAAGAAGATATTGAGCCAGTCAGTGGCATGGTGGTTAAGGCAGCTGGATCCCACACAACCCGATGTATGGTTCAAGACCTGAACCTGGCAGCTTGGAAAAACCCACTGGGAACATATGCATGAGTGCCCAAAATCCT